CTAGAAAAATCTACACAGAAATGAGTTCTTCAACGGGCATGAAAGGTGCTGAGCCGAAAAAACAAAAATTTGATAAAAATTCACAAACCAGCGGAAAAATGCAAGTTTCTTCACTTTGATTATTTTGACGAGAGCCTGATTCCACCACGCTGCCTCACAATTTTATTTAGTAGAGGTTTTACAGCGCTTGCAACTGCATAAGGTCATATGAGGGTGGATGTCAAAAGAGAAGTCTTTACAGGGAATCAGACTTACTCTGCTCACCTCTCTAGCCTCAACAGCACAAAGTCTGCTTCGACTATCAAGGCACCCCGGAAAGAGCGGGTCACAAGAGAGTGACAAACATACAAAACAAGTGGAGGAAAAATGACAATAGTAAGGATTAGGAAAGAAAACGCAGCAGTTCCCTGCTGCAGTTCAGGCACAGTTATGAGCATGACATTGTTGGATCAGCCCATTTACAATTACAATTCTATAGTGCATTAGAATGAAAAATCCCCCCCCCCCCCCCCCTTGGGAGTGGCCTAAAGACACTTCAGTCAGTGGCACCGCCCCGGAGTTACAGCAACAGGCTGCGTTACTGGCCTCTCAACACCGAAACAACTTCTGACAACACGCCTTCATTAACCCTATCCGTACGTCGTGTTTTACTATCATGTCCATAAATCTGTGCCACCACTTTCCAAAGAGGAAATTTACCCGTTAATCCGATCCGTACGCCTTGCATAGCAGTCTGTCAAAATGATTTTTTGAGAAATACTGAAAGTTTCAAAAAGATCTTCATACTAGAAGTATTCTAAAATGAGAGGAATACAACCGCGGGGGGTACAAAATGACCCCAGGGCGTACGGATAGGGTTAACAACAAAGTACAAATTGTCACTGGCATCTCAATCATACCCCCCCCCCCCCCCCCGAATACACCAGTACTATAATACATCACAAACAACATACTAGCTCTTGTATCCAAGTCAAAAAGTAATTTAAAAAATAAAAACAAAATAGATTTGTGGGATTATATGAGACAAGTTCGTTCATGACACATCAAGCAAAATTTACTCTAGCGTATATATTTTAAATGTATATAAAAACGTTGTAAGAGATATACAAAAGTTTGTGCCAAAATCTATAGGCCTAACTGTTGGCAGTACTGGGGTCACAAGATGTTAGGTTATTTCGTTACCATCTCCGACTTCAGCCACAACTCCAACAAAATAATTCCAGCTCTCTTGACAAAAGGAACAAATGTGTCATGACACGTGGAATCAGGCGCTCGTCAATTTTGGAGCATACGAGGTTATTGGTATCATCTTAAAGCCTGTTCATTGGCCTTCCTTTTAATTAAAAAACTATTGATCTACCTTGCAAAGAAGTGGAGAATATTTGCTATTGAAGGAGGTCAGGGTCGCCTGGTTTCAGAGGGAAAATTATCGAGAAAATGGCTGCCAAACTTTGGTACCTTCCATAGCCTAAGAGTCCTTGGAAACTGAACATTTACATTTTTTGTGCCTTTCATCAATGTTTTTCAGTAAAATCCACACAGAAATGTGTTTTTAGATGGACATAAAAGGTGTAGAGCCAAAACAAAAAAATTAGAAAAAAATTGCCCAGGGGCCAAAAACAGGCCAATTTCTTTGGTTTCAATATTCTGACGAGCGCCTGATTTCACCACGATGCCTCACACATATACTCCCTGATACATACAAAGGAAAGAAATGAATGAAGCTACAGCATGAAGCACACTTTTGCCATAACTTCACACTCTACGTATGCACATGTATGTGTATTCGTCATTGCAGTCCGCTATCCACGTACGGTACACAATTTGAAAACTCCAGTCTTTAAGGTATTTGATCTAAGCACAAGAACCTTAAAAATCAGCTCTCACGTTTTACTTTGCATCAATAATTTGGGACAACTTAAACATAAATTGTAAAAATCAAGAGGCTAAAACATGTATTAGACTAATAAAAAAGTTTGGCTTTTTTCACATTTTCTCTAAAGCACCTGAACGCTCCATACGCTATTAGAAGCGAAATGCATAGACGATATATCATATACATTATATATATATTCAAAGTTGATCAATTCTCATGTAACAAAAAACAACAACAACACATAGCAATACAAAATTGTTCACAAAAATATCTCTTACCGGTACAAAAAAATGTATATATATATAATATATCTATCATTTGAAACAGGGCTCTGCGTAAAGCACTTTGTTGGCAAGCTGCTCAGATGTACTAAGCCCAACGTTAGGAGAGTTCAACAAAACTGCAGTTTCTTAACTCTTTAAGCCCGCAGTTTTAGCTCCACCATTCCCCGCAGGTTTTAATTCTACAGTCACCTAAACCTGGTGAACTATACAGTCACCTAAACCTGGTGAACTATACAGTCCCCTAAACCTGGTGAACTATACAGTCCCCTAAACCTGGTGAACTATACAGTCCCCTAAACCTGGCGAACTATACAGTCCCCTAAACCTGGCGAACTACGTCAAGTTGTAACCCCAAGAGCTGCCACCAACTTCTAAAGAGCGGAAACAAAGGGCAAGTCATTACTAAAAAACAACTTGGTTCGGGAATAGTTCCGAAAAACAAGCACAAATTAGAACTAAGAGAAATGAACCAGTTGTCACTGGCACTGGATGCTCCCAGCGTCTGATGGGGAACACGGTTTAGTTTTACGTTATAGTAGAGGTTTTACAGCGCTCGCAACTGCATTAGGTTATTTGAGCGCCAGAAGATTAGACGTGTTACAAGAGAGTATGTAACAAATATAAAAAAGAAGAAGGGGAGATAGGAGATAAGGTCGTGGGTTCGAATCCCGTCAGGGACCCGACGTTGTGTCCTTGGGAAAAGCACTTTACACGGATTTCCCTCACTTCACCTAGATGGGAATGGGTACCCGGCTATAGACAGCGAAAGATCTTGTCAGTTGTTAGTGTTTGAGCGCTTAATCAACTACTTGCACTGTATGCTTCCCGGGAAGCTGAGAATGTTTCGGAGTGTTCTATGGTCTGCTGGGGTAATAATATAGTGTAAAGCGCATAGAGCCTGCTGTTGAGCGGGGTTATGCGCTATACAAATGCTATTTATTATTATTATTATGATAGGATAGAGGCTTCATAGGAAAGAAGATGCAAACCACACCAGAGCACCCGCCAACCACCCACAGTTAATCTGCAGTACCCGTTGCGACGCGACGGAATCAGGCAAATGGAGAAATATGTGTCAGCACGCGACGGAATCAGGGAAATGGTGAAATACTATGAGTTTAACGCCCCTATCAACACTATTAAGAGGCGGGGCCTCCTAGTTTAACGTTCTTCTCCGAAAGGACCAAGCCAAGCGGAAAATTCTTGTAAAGTGCCTTTCCCAAGGACACAACATCAGACCGAGCTGAGGCTCGAAGCGGTGGAATCAGGCGCTTGTCAGTTTTGGAGTATACGGAGTTTATGGTATCATCTGAAAGCTGACTTATTTTATTTGCCTTATTTCTAATGAAAGAAATATCCATTTCCCTTGAATAGAACTAAGATATTTGTGATTGAAGGAAGTGAGGTCGCCTGGTTTCAGTGGTGAAATTAGCGAGAAAATGGCTGCCAAATTTTGGTAACTCCAATAGAATCTAGCTGAAGAGTCTTGAAAAACTGAAATATGACATATTTTGCGCCTTTAATCAATTGTTTTTCAATAAAATTCACGTAGAAATGCGTTTTTATATGGACATAACAGAGGTTAAGTTGAAAAAACAAATTTCGATAAAAATTTCCAAACTGGTGGCAAAATGTCTATTTCTCCGATTTCGTTATTTGACGAGCGCCTGATTTCACTACCCTGCCTCACATATTTTGTTCAAATTTCAAATTCTAAATTTAAAAAAAAAAAAGCAATCAAAACTACATAACCCGGGTACATTTGTCAAAAGACTGACACCGTTTTTCCTCCACATTCCTGAACATTTTGCCTTTGGGCGACCTACATCTGGACAGCTTGCCCGCGATTGGAAAAGTTTGAATGAGCAACAACAAAGCCAAACAATTTGACAATGTGAGGACACAATTTGACAATGTGAGGACACAATTTGACAATGTGAGGACACAATTGACAAGTATGAAGACACAATTTGACAATGTGAGGACACAATTGACAAGTATGAGGACACAATTGACAATGTGAGGACACAATTTGACAATGTGAGGACACAATTGACAAGTATGAGGACACAATTGACAAGTATGAGGACACAATTTGACAATGTGAGGACACAATTTAACAATGTGAGGACACAATTGACAAGTATGAGGACACAATTTGACAATGTGAGGACACAATTTGACAATGTGAGGACACAATTTGACAATGTGAGGACACAATTGACAAGTTGAGGACACAATTTGACAAGTTGAGGACACAATTTGACAAGTTGAGGACAGGACAGGTGGCCCAGAGCCACAGAAAGATGTTTGTGAGGTTTGTTAGGGCAAAGAGATGTACATCTACAACTCATAGCTCGTTCAGATTTTTGTTAGTAAGAATTTTATGGCACTTGCAACACAATAAGGTCATATATAAGTGCCGAAGAAAAGATTACATGCTACAAGAGAGTAACATACACAAAAAAGAAGGAGGGGAGATAAGGACGACAGATGTCTGATAGGAAAGAAGGAGGGGAGATAAGAACGACAGATGATAGGAAAGAAGGAGCTGGTTCAGAGCTGGGACCAAAACAAAACACACAGGAACAACTGTGGGACACAAAGGAAGTACGAACTACCAGTGACACCCTCCAACCACCCGCTTGGGCAAGGCGAGCATTCACAATACCCATATTACATATATATCCATTTCTGAAAGTGAAAGTACGTCTCTCCTTTGGAATGTATAAAAGCTTTGACATTGAACTGTCCTCGTGGTTTTATGTACTCCGCATAATTTAATTTAGCAAAATTTGATCATTTTTTGCATAATTTCTTATTATTTTCCTTTATCATTCTTTGTTAAAATTAACTAAATCGCATAATATCACATTTTTGGGCTCAGTTTGCATAATTTCAGAATTTTTTTTGCTTAAAACTCAGGGACAGATTGAAGTAGGCAGCTTCCAAACCGGTGTGCCCAATATTGGCCAAACTCAGAGACATACCGGTGTGCCCAATATTGGCCAAACTCAGAGACATACCGGTGTGCCCAATATTGGCCAAACTCAGAGACATACCAGTGTGCCCAATATTCCTCGGGCTTGAAAAGAACCATCCACTGACCGAATGTTGCTGTGCGACAGGAATCAGGAAGTCACAACACTGTTCTCTCGCTCCAGGCACTTCGCCGATATTTCCACCGGGAGTCAACGCCCATATTTGCCGGCGTAGTCAAAGCTGATATTTCCGGGCGTCGTCAACGCTAATATTTCCGGATGTCAAAGCCGATATTTCCGGATGTCAAAGCCGATATTTCCGGATGTCAAAGCCGATATTTCCGGATGTCAAAGCCGATATTTCCTGGAGTCAAAACCGATATTTCCGGGCGTCAACGTCTCTATTTGCAGGCGTCGTCAACGCTGATATTTCCGGGCATCTTGTGTGTATGTCCCACACACTACACACGTCCCTCTCTCCGACACACATCAATCAGTTCTCCCCTCCACACACCCACGCACACACACAGAGCCGCACAGCGTCCCTCACACCAAGTTGGCGTCCTTACACATGCCGTAGAAGACAGACTTGGTGTTCTCCAAGAGCTTGGCCGGCGTGTCCAGCTCAATTATCTGCCCCTGATCCAGGACCATGATTCTGTGGACGAGCGAGACCGGGGGGGGGGAGAGGCGGTTTAGACTAAGCTTTAGTTCACCTTTTTTTGATAGTTTTAGAAAGAGTTTTACGGCACTTGCAGCTCAAATAAGTCATTAGCAAGACAGGGGAGATGGTTTCGACTAAGATTTAGTTCACTTTTCAAAAGTTTTAGTAAGAGTTTTACTGCACTTGCAACACAATAAGGTCATATAAGTGCCGAAGATTACAGGTGTTACAAGAGAGTAACAAACATTTAAAAAAAGGAGGAGAGATCAGGGCGATAGATGTTCGATAGGATAGAAGGAGCAAACCACACCAGAGCACCCACCAACCACCCACAGTTTACTTTTAGTACCAGTTTTACGGCATTTACAGCACCAATAGGTCATGACCGAGACAGGGGAGATAGTTGGGGAGCCACGGAAAATCTTCTTCTCTAAAACTGTCTCCTTTCACCTCCTTTCCTGCTCTCTAGCACTGTTCTGTCGACTGCTTTCGTCTCCTCTTTCTGCCCCCACCCCCTTTGCCCCCTCCTTTGGGCTCCTGACTCTTTCTGCTGCCTTTCTACTGCTACTCCTTGACTCCTTCTTACTGCTGTCTTTCACCCACACCCCTGATCTTCTGGTAGGAAAGATCTACACCTAGCCTTCTCGGACAAGGGTGAAAAATATCGGAGGACCCATGTGCAAGTTGCCCACGTTCAAGATCCCTTGGTGGTCAAAAATCGATAAAAGTAGGCTTCAGCCGCCACCAGTGCAAAATTCAAAATTTCCTACCAACTGAAAATGTTTGGTGTGTCCCGTGTGCTCATTTGACTGTACGCAGTTGACGACGCCGTAAAACTTACCCCCCAAAAAAGAAAATAAAAATACCACCCACCAACCTGTCATAGTCCAGTATAGTGTTGAGCCTGTGAGCACCCACCAACCACCCACCAACCACCCACCTGTCATAGTCCAGTATAGTGTTGAGCCTGTGAGCACCCACCAACCACCCACCAACCAACCACCCACCTGTCATAGTCCAGTACAGTGTTGAGCCGGTGAGCACCCACCAACCACCCACCTGTCAAAGTCCAGTAAAGTGTTGAGCCTGTGAGCACCCACCAACCACCCACCAACCACCCACCAACCACCCACCAACCACCCACCTGTCATAGTCCAGTATAGTGTTGAGCCGGTGAGCTATAGTGAGCACTGTGCAATCTTTGAACTCGGACCGTATGGTCTTCTGGATGAGGTCGTCTGTCTCCATATCCACGGCCGCTGTTGCCTCGTCCAGAACCAGGATCTTCGTCTTCCGCAGGAGGGAGCGCGCTAGGCACACCAGCTGTCTCTGGCCAACACTGTCGCCAACAGATATACACGCTTGATACACATGGCTATTTAAACCTATCTATCTATCTATCTATCTATCTATCTATCTATCTATCTATCTATCTATCTATAAATCTATGTACTTCCATGATAGACCATAGTTTCTCCTACGTATATTCTGCTCACTTTCTCTGTATCCTTCTCTCATTCACCCAAAATCATCAATCTCTCGCCGGTTTGCTATCCTTCACCCCCTCTCAAGCATTTTGTCTATCAACGTCTCCCTAGTCTGACCATAGATAAGGTGTTCTGTAACAATAGACCATTGTGGAAACGGATGAGGGAGAGAAGATG